ATCACTCTTTGATGTTCCTCGTGTCCATCTCACACTTCAAAAACTCAATGCACATAAAAGGCCCAGATATCTGGAATTCATTACCGGTGAACATAAAAGAAACACTGTCTGTTTATAAATTCAAGTCTCTTCTTAAAAATCACTTACTTACCCACAAGTAATTAAATACTGAATAATTGTATCTCATAAATTGTACCTCATAAATGTTTAACCTGCGACCCTATCAAACTTTGTTTTTTTTTAATTACATTACCTAACAGAATACCCCATTCTACTGAATGCACAGCAACTCAGTAAATGACCATATGACCTGTCTTTGAAATACTCAATTGTGCTTAAATTGTTATTTGTTTACTATAATTTTTACCACTGAATATATCATTGCTTAGTTAATCTTAATTAAGTTTATTTTAAGCCTGCCCATAATGCTCTGCATACAAGGGGCTTTTGGCATGTTACACTTAACCACTGTATTTCTTTGTACTTCAATGTATCATGTCCAAATTAATAAAAATAAAAAAAAACTTTGCACTTAAAGCAAGAGGCTTATGGCTCCTCTTTTTATCACAACTAAGCTTAGACGCCATCGTCAATGAGAGCCAGCTAGTTAACGAAAGAGTAAATGAGAGAGAGAATGTGATATAGAGTTGAGACAATGTAAGAACACAAACTGAACAGGTAGTGGGTGATCACTTGGTCAGGTGAAGTAAATGCGTATTAATATGTGTCTACTCTTAGTTCATTCACGTACGTTCGTAAGAGTTTGTAAAATATTTACCTCAATATTTTTTATTATAATAATAATTACCTCACAATACAAATACTGTACTCTTGCATTGTGTACAAGTTAGTACAGAATAAACAACCAGAAACACACCACTTTTAGAGTGAATGAAGATATTATTATTATTATTATTATCATAAAAAGCGCTAAACCCACAAGGGTCGTGAATTGCTATATATAGAGTGAAGGCATATGAAAAGAATATTTTTCTACAGTTATCCCCCAGTTTGAATAGAGAAAACGTAATTCTTCCGAGACTATGTACACAGCCGCTTTGTAAACAAATCTCATATTTACGTCAATTTTTATTCTGTGAGTGTATGTATCACGTTTATATGCTATGTAACAGATTTCATATATAATTTTGAGGAAAATATCATAGATTGATTAATGAAAATCCCTATATTAATGTAAAATAAGACATTTAGTGTGCCTAAGAGTGATTATTATTATGCAGTATTGGTGTCATGAGTAGAGATACTCTTAGCGATTTTAATGTGTACCTGCATGCCAGCACAGTGTGTAAGTATATTTAGGTACAGGTACACATAAGTATAATTATCAGAGTACAGCAGGGCCCCGCTTTATGGCGTTTCACTTTACGGCATTCCGCTAATACAGTCATTTCAAATTATGACCAAAACTCGCTATACGGCTCCCCCCACCTGACTTTCTAATACGGTCACCGCGCCCCACCTTGTTTGTTTACATTCTTCGTGAGCTCAGTAAGCACTAAGTCTCTCCATTTTGTCTGGAAACTCCAAAATTTCAAATGTTTTTAAAAGTTATTTTATATTTTATATATACTCTGATAATTATACTTATGTATACCTGTACTTAAATAAACTTACATACTGTGCTGGCATGCAGGTACACATTAAAATCAGTAAGAGTGTCTTATGTCTCCAGACGTCATATTAGTAATGATAATAATAATCATCGAGTCTCATTTAAATGTCGTATATTACGTTAAATACACATTTTCATTAATCCATCTATGATATTTTTTCAAAATTATATAATAAACACGATACATAACATAAAAAGGTGATAAATACACCCCACAATAGAATAAATAAACATAAATATGAGATGTGGTAGCAGACGACTTGCACAAGTGACGCCATATTAGAAATGCTAATAATAATAATAATAATCACCGAGTCTCATTAAATGTTGTATATTACGTTAATATACACATTTTCATTAATCCATCCATGATATTTTTTTCAAAATTATATAATAAACACGATACATAACATAAAAAGATGATAAATACACCCTACAATAGAATAAATAAACATAAATATGAGATGTGGTAGCCAGATAACTTGTACAAGTGATGCCAAGAATAACATTTTCTCTAATCTAACATAAGAGAAAATGTGTTACTGGGGGTAACTGTAGAAAATTATTCCTTTCGTATGTATGTAGGTAAGTTTATTCAGGTATACACAAATACAGTTACATGGATTATCATACATAACAACGTATGTGTAGAGAACCTAGGATAACCCAAAAAAGTCAGAGTGACTTATTTCCATTGCCTTCACTCAGAGCATCATTTCTTCTCAAAATGATGTTACATGAGAATGGGAGTGTTCTTCTTTATTTATTCTACCGTATCAATGTAGAGACAATGTAACTTGTACACAAACCGGACGTGTACACTTCGTTTACAAAACTTACCTTCGCCTGGTTTGTTTACATAACTCTGCGCCTGTCCTCTGTCATGCACTCATTCTTTCTCTCTCTCATTTATTCGTTTTATCTCATTTACTTACTCCTGACCCTACATTAAGACTACAAATATTTTAAGGTAAGTAATGAGTGAACTGTATAGTATACATTTTATCGCTCTGGGATGCTTAAATGTAATAGAATATTATGTGTAGGTGGGTTGGCCTGGTATGGTAGCCCGGCTGACTACCATACATACCACACTTGATTTTTTACAATAAATACTACTTATCTCACCCTATATTTTAAGGTAAGTAATGAGTGAACTGTATATACATTTTATCGCTCTGGGATGCTTAAATATCATAGAATTGTATGTGTGGGTGGGGTGGCCTGGTATGGTAGCCTGGCTGACTACCATTCATACCACACTTGATTTCTTACAATAAATACTACTTGTCTCACCCTAGATTAAGACTATAAATATTTTAAGGTAAGTAATGAGTGCACTATGTGTGTATTGTACTTTTTTATTGTTTTTTGATGCCTGGTTCTATTGCTAACTTAATATATGTTAGTGTAAACTTAGTTATCTAGTGTTTGTATGCATTTGTAAGCGGGAAAAAAAGGGTGTTCCACTTTACGGCGGTAGCCTGGAACCTAACCAGCCGTATAAGTGGGGCCTTCCTGTACATATAAAATACGCAGTAACTTTAAAACACTTGAAATTTTGGAAAGTTTCCTGACATAATAGAGGTGGTCATGGAGAATATAAACAAACCAGGTGGGGTGCACCGTATTTGAAAGACTGCTTGCTGTATAGCAAATTTTGGTCATAATTTGACATCGCCATATTAGCGGAATGCCATAAGGCAAAATGCCGTAAAGCGGGGCCCTACTGTATATTGTAATGAACAGAATAGAGGAAATCAGCTCTAATATACATTAGAGTGGTCCCTCGATAATAGTCGGGCTCGATAGTCATCATTTTCGGAAATCGTCGCGTTATTTTAGTCCAAACATTGGCTCACAAATGGTCGGTTGACTCGCTAATCGTCGTTCATCCTGGACGCGTACTCACGGCTCTGAGCTGCCTCGGCCTCTCTTCCCAGCCAGTGTGCCATTGTTTACCAGTGAGCGACAGTCCCCTCACGTGTTCATATTAAATATTTCATAATATTCCATTCATTTTAGTGCTTGCAAGTGCTAAATAAGCTACCATGGTTCCAAAGAAAGCTCCTAGTGCCAAGCCTTTGGTAAAGGTGAGAAATGCGATTGAATTTAAGAAAAACATCATTGAACAATATGAAAGTGGCGTACATGTGGCCGAACTGGCCAGGATGTATAACAAATCCCATACAACCATATCTTCCATCATGCCCAAGAAAAAGGAAATCAAGGAAGCTGTTGTTGCAAAGGGGGTAAATATACTGACAAAAATGAGATCACCAGTACTCGAAGATGTTGAGAAGTTATTATTTGTGTGGATAAACGAGGAGGAAGAGAGATGGAAGAAGGTGCATTCTTCAGAAATTAAGGAGATTTTTGAAATGTGGGGTAGGATGGAAAGATTTATGGAGAAATATCACCCTGAGAAGGATGTTGCAAGCCATATTGGCAACTTGTACAGTGACAGAGTCTTGGCCTGTTTTAGGGAAGTTTTAAAGAGACGCCAGAAACAGAGCTCTCTGGACACTTTTTTTTGTGAGACAGGACTTCAGTGACTCTCAAGCTGGTCCTAGTGGCATTAAGAAACAGAGAAGAGAAGTAACCCCAGAAAAGGACTTGGTACCTAAGGTGTTGATGGAAGGGGATTCCCCTTCCAAACAGTAACTAATCCAATCTCTCTCCTCCTCCAGTCTTCCATAGACTAAGAAGAATTGCCAATAAAGGTGAGTGTTATGCTGTTAATGTTTCATTCATCATGTCCCATTGTATTGTTTATGTACTACATTTATATTTCATGTAAAAAAAATTTTTGTTTTAATACTTCTGGGTGTCAGGAATGGATTAATTGTATTTTCATTATTTCTTATGGGGAAAATTGATTCGAAAATTGTCTTTTTCGATAATCGTCGCACTTCTAGGAACGGATTAACGACAATAAACGAGGGACCACTGTATTTAGGTATGCCTACTAGTCAGAGAGCTCATCATAACTCTGAGTCATCAGTAAACGAGTATGTCACTAAATGAGGAGAGGCTGTATATATAAAAATATAGATAAATGAGATACTTGAGCAACATTTGGGTCCCTCAACCTGGAGTTGACTAAACACATTACTTGAGCAACATTTGGGTCCCTCAACCTGGAGTTGACTAAACACATTGACTCCAGGTTGAGGGACTTATTACCTCAAACTCCTCATCTTCCACCTTTCTCTGCAATAGACTGAAGGAGCCACTGACTGGCAAAACATTTCCAGAATAGATAACTAACTGTTGCACAAGTGTCTCATTGATCTTCTTGTTAGTTCTCTAACCCATTTAATTACATATAAATACAGTAACAATAAATGTTAATTTATTTTGGCAGTGTGAGTGGCCTGCACTGAGTCCAGAGACAGCCAATCCAAATATAACTGATAAAGGAACTGTGGTCCGTGCCATGATTCTTGCCGACACCCATTTACTAGGTCGTAGAAATGGACATTGGTTCGACAAATTACGTAGGTAAGGAGAGTGGTTACAATAGTGAAAAAAATATTTGTGTAATATACTAAGATACGTTCCACTGTATAAAGTTATACAGCACTTTAACCTCTAAGTAAACTCAGTTTAAAGGTGTGTGGGGGGGGGGGAAGCAAGGGTCCAGTAATGGTGATTGTGGTGGATGGGGATAATAACAGTAATAATAATATTGATGATAATATTATTTCAGCACGATACAATGTAGTGAGATGGGTGATGTATAGTTGTGCATGCAGAAAGTCCATAGTTCTGCAGAGCAGTTCAGGCAAACTTAAGCCTAACTTACGATTACAGTCGCGATAACTTATTAATTAAGGATATGCTCAGGCATGCTAGCTTCATTAAAGACAGCCTTCTCCTGTATTATTCTTACTGAAACCAGGACACATCAATCCACAACTGCAGACCAGAACAAACTGGGAGAGGTATTGCCATCTATTATTCTAATGAACTATCACATTGCAACACCATATCCTTCAATGATGAATATGGTGAATATATATTTGCAACCTTCTCTGTAAAAAAATAAGAAACTCTGTAGCAACTGGGGCCATATACAGGATGCCTCATACTAATATCCCAGCTTTTAGTGATAAACTAAAAGCACTGATAACAGAAAAACAAATGAATAAGCACCACCTACTACTAGCAGGAGACTTCAACATTAACTTTTGCCTAACAGATGACCAACTTGTAACTAATTTCATTAACAGCATGAATAATACACTACTCATACCAACAAGACTAACTGACACAAGTACAACCATAATTGACCATATATGGACAAACATATTAGCCCCTCTTAATGCAGGGATAATCACAGACAACATTACTAACCACTACTCAGTTTTTCCCCCTAACAATCATTTGTAAGCAGCCAAAGGGATACAATAAGCTTTCTTTTCAACTCCATGATGAGCCATCAATAAGTAACCTCACTGCAGATCTAAGCTCAACTGACTGGCCTACAGAATTTTCCAGTGCTAATACAGTGAAATGTCGGCTTACGAACACCCCACCATACGATTTTTCAAGATACGAATTGTCGTTTGGTCGATTTTTTGCTTCTGGATACGAAAGAAATTTCAGGATGCAAACTTCTCCCTCATATTTATTTCTTTGCAAAGGTTACAATGTGTGTTTACATATAATAAGATGATTGGAGGAAAGAAAGTCACTATCATGCCGAAGCATTTCGGGCAGACTTAACCTAATACTAGACTACTTGAGTCTAGACAGGTGTAAAGTGTACTAGTAGTGGTTATCAGTGTTTTGCTGATGGTGATGCCAACTACTGGCAGCCTTTTGAAGTTTCTCCTTACTGTTATTATTATTACTATTATTGTTATAATAATAATAATGATTAGGAGGAGGAGGGGAAGGAGGAGGAGGAGGGGGAGGAGGAGGAGATTGAAGGGAAGGAGGAGGAGGAGGAGGAGGTGGTGATGGCGGTGGCGGCGGCGGTAGTAGTAGTACAGGTCCGCCATCACAAATCCGGCAATCAGTTATTTGGTTCCTTCAGTTGCTCGGCATTAATTTTGGCTAGCATAATTTCAAATTTCCAGGGTCGACACACCAACATGCTGTTGACAGCAATGTCACGCCCCATTTGTCATGCCACGTCAGTGCCATGATGTCATTAGCATGAAACACTTACACTGCACCTTCAACACTGCCTCCACTGAACCTTGGCATATGTTTTCTATTCCTCACTGTTCCACATATATCAGTATTATTCACACATAGGAAATCAGCGAGCATAGGGCTTGTATACCAGTTGTCTGTGTACAATGTATGGCCCCGCCAAGATATGGTTCCATCATCCTGCGAACAACATCACCAGAAATGCCCAACATCCATCTGTCATCATTGAGTATGTTTCTCCTGGTGTATACAATAACATCCAACACAAGACCACTCTCACAGTCACACATAAAAAGTTTTATACCAAAACAATTAAGTTTGCTCGGTATATATTGCTTGACTGACGGGCGTCCCTTGAACAGAATCAAGGACTCATCAACAACAATGTTCTTGAAGGGATAAAAAGTATGCACTGAATTTCTGCTTCAAATACATAAACACTTCCCGGATTTTGTATAGCAGGTCATTTCTGTTTGGCGTATTTCTGTCTGAGAAGTGCAACATAGTGAATCTGTTGCAGGGAAGTAGTTCACGGAAAACTGGAGTACTGATGAAGTGGTCTGTGGACCAGTAATTACGTATATTGTTCTTATAGATATGTGGCATAAGCATGACAGTGGCAAGGAATAAATACATTTCAGCCACTGTTGTGGCTGTAAGGCAGCTGAGTCAAGCCTGTTTCTCTCAATATAATAGGTTATACTATAGACACACACAATTTAAATAAGTAGTTTATAAAGTTGTATTTCTTTTTGTAAAAGTAAATAAGGTATGGTAAAATTGTGGTAACTAGAGAATTGTGCTTGGCAACAGTCTTTTGTTTTTTTGGTGGGTGTGGGAGGAGCTTAGCTAGGCTCCTCCCTCTCCCTCTCTCTCTTTTGTTGACTTGAAGCTGGTAGGACCTCTGGGTCCTTCTATTTTATTGGGCATCATGTGTGCCCCAGAGGTGAGTTTTATAATTTAAGTTGTGGCCACCATACCCAGGGTGACTAAAGTGTGTCAAAACACTGGTTAGCCAGAGATTAGTCAAGAAGAGAGAAGACCAAATTGTTGAGATACACCATGTGGACTGTCCTAGGAGAGCAACTAAGGGGTGTGCAGGCTTATGTTTTGAATATGTGAGTGCTGTAATTGTATATTCTGTACATATCTATTTAGAATATAGTTATATGTTTTTATAGAGGTAGTTTAAATAACCTGTGAAAAGGGCTGGTGAAAGGTTTTCAGAGGGTGAGGATGATCAATCATGGATGTAAGTATTACCCTAGACATATAAGACTTTTATGTAAAAGCTACCCCACACTAGAACATGTAGTGAGAACCTTACTATCAAAGTAATAAGGGACAACAACATAACAAACGTATATATACCTTTGAACCATTTAAGGGTTAATGTACACCAAAAATGAAAAAAATGGACAATAAATAATGGAGTTCACTTCTCAACCATTAGCCGCCCCTTAGCAACATACGTATTTTTGTAAGGTTTTTATGGTTGTATTCTCATTTTTTTGGTCTCATTTGATAGAATGGAAGATATATTACAGAAATAGATATGATTTTGATTGGTTTCACGATGAAAAATACTTGAAATTGAGCTCAAAGTAGCGGAAATGTTCAAATTTTGCCGATGTTCAATGAACTTTCTGTGTAAGTCAAGTTGATTAACTTTAAGTGTATTCTAGTGCATTAAGTGTAATCCAGCAAGCTCAATAATCTGGCACACTACAGGTCCCAACAATGCTGGATTTGTGATGGAAGACCTTTAGTACCAATGAATGGTAGACATATTTCTGAGCAAAATACATAGACTATGTAACAAACATTGTCCCATAAAAACTAATGAAAGACAAAGTTGCCCATGGCTTACTAAAAGCATTTTAAGATCCATCAATATGAAATATCAATATAAAAACAATATAGAGAGGGCTGAACCCTTTAAGGGTCGAAACCCTCGATCCTGAACTCCCACTCAGTCGAAAAATTTAAAAAAAAAAAAAAAAAAAAGTCATATGAAATGATAGAGAATTTTTTCCCGATGTTAATGACACCAAAAGTATGAAATTTTATGGGAAACTTATGGAATTATGTTCTCACAAAGTTAGCAGTCTTGAAAGTATTTACGCATCGGTGATTTTGCCCACTTTAAGCCCTATTTTCGGCCAATTCCAATGTTCTGGTCGGCTAAAATCATAGGTATTTCGCTAGAACTCCATTTGTTCTATCGATTGAGTACAAGAAACTGCTCATTTACCGATTTCAACTACCCAATAAGGTGGTCGGAAATTGGCAATTTGGCCAATTTCACACAAATTTCAAAAGATGCCAATTTCAAAATAGGGTCCAGAATAAATAAGACAGACATTCCTGACACTAAAATAAAATTTTCTCTGTTTATTAGCCATGTCTCCAGGCCCCTCTTATATTACTCTTGCTTTCCATTTTGAATTTTTATTCTCTCAAAAAATAGAAGATTTACTGTTATGCAGACTACTGCATTATAGTATAAATACTGTCAGCGCACTTGTGAAAGAATAATAGACTCAGTAGTTGATGTGTATTGGACGCATGGTGTGATTTGTTTACTCTTGAACATCGGGAAAAATCAAACATTTCCGCTAATTTGTGCTCAATTTCAAGGTATTTTTCATCATGAAACCAATCAAAATCATCTCTATTTCTGTGAAATATCTTCCATTCTATCAAATGAGACCCAGAAAATGAGAATACAACCATAAATAGCATACAAAAATACACTGCAAAGTCACTCTTTTAAACCAAAAACACGGTCGGAGTTTTTTTCTCATGCACTGTGTGCCGCAGGTTTTTTTTATACTGCACACATTGACACCACAGACCTATTCTTTCATATGTAGGCCTACCAGATTTGAAGGTGCTAGAATTTTGGCGTATAAGTACGTGACCGACCCTAGCTGTTAAGACGTACATGTACATGACCAACCCTCAAAGGGTTAATAACTAATGAATTTATCAAACACTGCATGTCAGTCTTCACCAAACTAATCAGAAAGTCCAACTAAGTATACTGTTCTAATAGATTCACTGAAACAAGAGGAGATATAAAAAAAGACATGGAAAACACTCTAGCAGATCCTGGGCACCCACAAACTAAGCAAAGTTAGTAATATTGTATTAACTAAACCAAACAAACTGCAACTCCAGCCTATTGATACAGCTAACAAGATAAATGACTTCTTCTCAACCATAGGATCAAGTTTCGCCAGTAAAATTCCAAATACCAATGTCCAAGCTAATGATTATCTAGATGGAAACTTCCCAACATCCCTCTATCTTGCACCAACAGAGCCCACTAAAGT